GAAAAGCCAACAAGACGAGAAAGCCGGGGATGTCGCAATCGTACCGAGTCTCCGCCTCCGATGATGGTGATCACCCCCTTCGAGGTGAGGTCGGCCAGGCAGCTGGCCACGGCGAACGTTCCCGCGGCAAACTTGTCGAACTCGAACACCCCCATTGGTCCATTCCACACCTAACGGTACCGCCACCGTCGCGGAAGCAAGGGAGGAAGGGTCAGGGGTTCGGTTGAAGAGGGAGGGAGAAAAGGGGTGCGTGGAGCGGTTGGGGGGAATGTCTGTCGAACCAAAGAATCAATTTGATTTTTCGTGATCCCAGTCGACTTCTTCGGCTTCCACATCACAAGGGGAAAATGACGAAATATCGTACAAAGCATACGTGACTGCTGTAGGTATGTCTGTACCTGTCTCGCCGTGAGCGCATTTATTGGTAGTGGATGCCTCACGCTCTTTGTGCACTTAGCGCCGGGTAATGCATGATTCTTATAGCCATGCGCCAGTGATGGTCTAATTGGCGCGTATTTTCCTCCACGTAGATGGCAGCAGTACCTCGCTGCTACTCCATTACCATGAATGATATTTCGTTTCGCAATAGCCAAGTCAGAGACCCTCCTGATTCACATACGAGACGCGAACGCTCCGTGCGATACATATATTCGCCAGGCTCACCGGAGCAGTGCGTCATACAAATACTCCCAAAACGTTTATAGTCTCAAGCATCGAGTCGGGCCCACTCCTTGACCAGACAATTCGTGTCCTCTCAACTACCGCGTTCAGTGAAACCTACACGACGCCGCCTAAATGGTACGTTTACTCCAACGCCAGGCCACTCCCTTTTTCCCCTCACAATTGTTTTGCATGGAGCCAGGGCCTCCTCGAAGGATGAAGTAGTCTTCGGCCCCACGTCTAGCCCCATCCACTCCTCCGGAATGCTGTCGGCCGCGACGACGTCTGACTCCGCGTCTGCGGCGAACTGTATTGAACAGAGGTGAACAGAAAAAAAATAGCTTCAGTGTTACTGGAAACCTCCGTTGTACTTTCGGTGGGGCGCGGTGCGGTGGAACACGTGTCAGTTCACGGGGGAAGCTGGCCAGATACAGGCAGGACAGACAAGCTTCAAATTCATAGGTATGATCTCCACGGGTCGGGTGTCTGCCAAGATATTGGCACATCCCTCCTGATGATCCTCGGGTCAACAGAGGCGACTGATTGCCGTGAGACAATCACGACACATACGTGCGAATTGCGCGTTACAACAAAATGATAGCCACCTCCTCTCGTCTGGTAGAAAATGCAAAACTCCATGGCCTTCACGTGCGTATGTGTGCGTGTTTTTCAACCTCGCTTCCATGTATCGTATACATTTCTCCCCATGTGAAGGGACGCCACGTGGACCGGACGAAGGCAAGGATGGTATGTGTGTCGTCGTCGCTACAACTCTGAATGATCGCTGTGCGTGAACTTAGAACCTGCTGCTCTCGCGCACGCACCTTGTCGGCAACGACGACGTCCTCTGGAAGCAGCAACTCGACACCCTTCGCCTCCGCCTTGTCCATCAGCCTAGCCGCGAGCTCGACAAAGTCATCTTCCACCTGGGAATCGTAGGGAGGGGTGGAAACGTGCGCCAATATGGACAAAGTGCACGCGAGGAAAACGCAACAGGTCCAAGAACGGACAGAGAATAGGGGGAGGCAGGCAGGGATGGAGAGAAGACAGAAGAGGGGGGGGTAGGCCCTGTGCACAGACAGCTATCGCGCCGAGGTTGATGTCGACAAGTGCGAAGATAGCCGGCGAAGAGATGGACAAAAAAAAAGGAGACAGAAAAGGCAACGGCGTTGACATAGGGAACCAGAAACTGTTGACTTGCGCAGGTATCCGCACAATCGAACTCTTGGTTCAGAAAAACAAATAGTACTCTTTACCATGACAACTACGGCAGAATCTATTGCACAACCGTTCCACGAAGCGAACGTCGCAGCGGGGATGCGTTTTCAGCCCGCCGCTACTCCATGGCAACCAACCGCAAGCGAAAGGATGCAACGTGCGATGTGCGAGCAAACACGCACAAGACTTGGGGCTCCGGGCAAACAAGCCTGCTAAATAGTGGCACGAAATACACCAGACCGAGATGCCTCACGCGCGTGTGAGCAACCAGGCTACTCGCCGCTGTCTTCGCAAACAAGAAAGCACCCGTGTCCGCCAAACGGCGCCCATCTCCGGCCTCGACGACGGACGGCCCGTTACACACCACAACATCACACGAGTGGGAAACACAGCCAGCCATGTGCATGTACAAGAAAAAACGCAACGCCGTTGTTCTCACCAAGGACTTGCCGACTCCGAGTCCCTTGGCCTTGTAGAAGGTGAAGATCATGCCGCCCCCGAGGAGGATGACGTCACACTTTTCGATCAGAGCTTCGATCACCGTTATCTGTACGAAAACAAAAAAAAAACACATCGGCGCAAGAGCCAGCATGCCCGGTGTGAACGCGGATCACGTACATGGACCAAAATCGTGAAACGTTGCTCGCCCTCAAGCAGGGCGTCCCCGTGTGAGTGACACGTTTTAAAACCAAAACGCGCGATATCGAATATTTGGCCGCCTGAAGCTGTTAGATAGCAACACGTTGGAGAGCCCCGGGCCGGGCCCATGCTGTCGAACAACGTTCGTCTTGCATGCGGTCGACGTGTGAAACACGAGGTGCACAACGGTGAATATTGACGCCCCGGCTACGCCCGCTGGGTCTACGCGTTGTACGAAAAACCTTCAGTGCCCCCGCATGTTGTGTACCACTGATTTGTTTCCGCACACCCAACACTCTACTACTGTACAACGCTCAGCTGATCACTGGAACCAAACGACGGTTTCGTTGCACTGCTGTTCAACACAGTCATTCTTGCGGTCTTCAGCCTCCTCGCCGGACCCTGGGTGGCCATCGAGGTGTTGCTTTCGAGTGGGAAAACTCGAGACCGCGACCTCTTCCGCATGGTAGGACGAGTCAAACAGACCCACACACAACGGAGGCGTTGACAGCAGACAAGGCCAGAGGCGGCGGCGAAAGCAGTCGTGATTTTAAACAGCTCACACCCTCTCGTGTTCATACCGCCAAAGAATGCTTCCAATAATTATTACCTTGCAGGACACCTTGGCACCCCCCACAATGCACGCCATTGGCCGGACGGGGTTGTCCACGGCTCCCTTGAGGTACTTGAGCTCCTTCTCCATCAACAAGCCGGACACCTGAGCCAAAAGCGAGAGACGTCGCCAAACGGACCAACAACCGGGCACCGGGAACGTTCGATGGCGGGTTGGGGCGCCAGACAATATTAGGTACACAACAGGCTAAACCGTGCGGGCGGTGGTGGGTGGGTGATCATGTGCCGCCCGATGGTACGTCTAATCTCCATCGGTGGATCATCCTCAGACCAGAATACACAAGGAAGGGTCAGCCCGATCGATGTCGAGCCGTACACGCTGCCGATCAAACCTCACATCATCGAGCACGAAGCGTGAACAAGCAAGCGAAAGTTTGATGCGACCACGCGCAATGGATACGGAAGAGAGCCACAGGACGGTGCTGCGCATGAAACAAGCCTTGGTGTCGATTCCTCTGCACCGCCCGATCACGCCATCACATGCCTGGACGAGAAAGCACGCTCGCACGTAGTTTTCTGAACGGAAAGAACGGCACGGCGCGCTTGCTTCACCTTGCGCTCGACGAACTTGGTGATGCCCGCGGTGGACGCGTGGGCGCGGTGCACGGTTCCGAAGGCATCATTGACGTAGTAGTCACACAGCGCCGCCAGCTGCTTGCTGAACGTTTCGTCGTTGCCCTGCCGCGCCAGAGGGGAGGGGGGCAACAGTTATCCCACCATTGCGATAAACCTTGACGGATGCCACACACCCTGGTATGTCCGATCTGACTCCCGGCTTGCGGCTAACGCGCCATTCCCTCCGCGAGCCAGACTCTGGGAACACTAAGATATCATCAATCCGGCCAGACTACCGAAAAATATCAGAACAATTCACCAGTTACAAGACGTCACACGCGCGGCGAAGAAAAATGAGGTATGTTGCCTACTTTGATACGGTTTCACCTCTAAACTGCATGGCGGATCCAATGCATTACACAAGCGACACGTGTGATGGAAGTAAACAGCCAGAGGAGAAGGAGTCACAGACGTGCGGAAACGACGTCAATAGCCGGCTGGATAGCGGGAAAGGGCACCGGCTGCTACAACAACCCTCGGCTCACCTCCTCGCCGGAGTGGAATCGGACGTTTTCCAACAGCATGATGTCGCCATTCCCCATTGACGAGATACGCTCCTCCACCGCGGCTCCGACACAGTCATCCATCTTGATCACCTGGACGACAAGAAAATGTAGACGCAGGTGGGATTCACACGTGAAATGGTACCACCAGAAGCAGAAGACAAACGCATCGTTGCTCGAACATAGCACCCGCGGAAGACAAACACATAATGGTATCTCGCTGTGCATTGAACGACCTCCGTCACACGGGTAATTGATTGATCGAAGGCAAGGGGTCTCCCACGTTCAGTCTACTCTCTGGATAAAGACCCTTAGTTTCTCAGGACTAAGGGCAAGGAGGCGGTTGCAACAGCGGGTGAAACATTGAAAACACAGTTGGATGTTCACTAACTATAACGATGCGACTCAAGGGGGGGAAGGCCTTTATTGTTCCCTAGAGAAGCACAAATCTTCAGGCATACCACTGGATCCTGGACTCTTATCCGTGAATAGGAACGGATTGTGTTGCCATTGTAAGAAAATGTACGAAAAAAGGAACAATCCCATGAGCACAGACACCACAGCTCAACGAAATATTCGAAACATGCATAAAATCTATTTCTAATGATGCAAACATGCAAAAAAATATCGCGTACGGGGAACATGCTTGGTACCAAGGACTCTTATGTTAACTGTTGTTGACGATACTCTGCACACACACACACACACACACACACACACACACACACACACCAAACTCGCCTCCTTGCCGAGCAGCGCGGAAAGCCTGGCGGCCACCGGATCCATGCGGAGCGAATCCACCACCTTCTTCTTGGGCCTGCCGAGATGGCTCGCGAGGATGACCCGGGCCCCCTGGCCGGCCAAGAACTCGATGGTGGGGCACGCCCCTTTCAAGCGCGTGGCGTCCGTCACGGCGGGTGGCGAGTCCTTCGACAGCGGGGCGTTCAGGTCCACCTGTGTCGTCAAGCGCATGGATGCGGCGCACGAAACGCAACGAGCGAGTTCACGCCCCGAGCGGTAGTGGTGGGGAAACAAAATAATAGTGTTGAAGGGGATAAATAAAAATAATATAGTGCTGAGAAGTTGTCAGAGGATGAACTGAATATCAAGATGCGAGAGCGAGTTGGGGGCGGAGGGACTCCCTCGTTCTAGAAGAGGGCGCTCTTTGTATTGATGGTGTTTGCAGAAACGAAAGAGTGCACGGATGGATGCGTTTGGACGGTGGATACAGAGGCCGTTGTTACACCCAGTGGAGTAAACCACGCCGAACTTACGAACTCTCGTTGTGCACGTTGGTCTCATCATACACAATTAGTTGTAGGGGGAGTAACGTGCTCAGAATGTGTGGTATCTGGTTTTGTACGTCTGACTACAGTAAAGTACGCAGAGGAATGTCGGACAACAAAATAAATAGATTTTGTCTGGTACGCATACTACGTACAGCAGCTTTTCCACGGTAATGATCGGGTAGAACCTATTTCGCTTCAGCAGTGGACTGACCCATGCCGCCAGCATCATCAGGTGACAAAGGAGGGAATTCAGCGCAATAGTTTCAGCGTAACGGTCTTCGGATGTATACATGTGGTCTACAGCTACAGTCCACTAGCTACAGACCAATCTGCCGGAAAAACGATTAGCAATCGAACCACCAGAGACCCTTATGCATCTGGCAACCGTGTGAGATACACGCATGCCGCGGCTAGATAGATAAGTGACTGGTATGGCGTATGGCGTGAAATCCACGAGCGTGGACTGCTGTAGTTTGGTACTGGGAAGTCAGCAAGAATCGAAGAGAGCCAGTTTCGAATGTGCGCTGGATATTTTTGCGGTGCAATCGCTAAAAAGCTGTCTCGCTGCACGGTCTGCCGCTGCACTGAGCATTGAGCAGCAGTACAAGGGTAGGTTTACAACATCAAGAGCGAGTAAGGGCAAGTCTCACCCGCACGAAGACTCGTTTGCCGGTCAAGTCAGTAGAATCCGCCAAGTCGTGGATGTCGGCCTTGGATGAAACTGGTCCTGTCATTGCCATTGTATATGATACCTGAGGCCTACATGTAGTATCCAAACGGCAGTTGCGGTTGTAGCACAGTGTTGGGTGTTGTTGGGCAAACGAAGAGAAAGCGATGATGATGTGGAACCAATTGGCCATGGGAATTTGCACTGCTATGCTGCAATACCACAGCCCCACACCACCGACAACTCAAGAAATATTAGATTCCATTCACGGTAATACATAGTCTGCTCCCTCCATATTTCTAGAAGCAGAACGAAAAAGCTCCGTGCGACTCCTCGCTGCTGCTGCCGCAACAGCAGCAGCTAATGAGACTACCGCAGGGCAGCATTGCATCCACTATCCATACAACCTGGCACAATGTCTTACGTTGCTTGTTATGGGAGAGAGGTCGCGTGAAACCGAAGAGATGAGCCGAGTGCGAGGGAAGGCGTGTGAGTGATGGGAAGGTGCGGGTCCTGCTTTGAGCTCGCTCGTTGGACTGTGGAGGCGACGTGTCAATAAAAAAAAAGGGAGGGCGGTTCGCTGACCAATGAAAAGACGCGGTCCAGATCAGACACGTCACGGGTGGAACCAGGAATCATGCTGCTGTTTGCATGCCTGCACATGTTAGCATATGCCTCACCGTTTCGACGCGCCTATGGCGGAAGAAAGTAGAGGTTGTCCAAGGTCTTACGCATGCCGAACTCAATTTTTCGTCTGGTCTGCTGTAGACTAAATAGTCTAGACTACATATATAATATCTACCACACATCCTGGACAGTCATGTGTTGTACGTACATACAGCAATTGTAGACCTTGCGCCCTCACAGGGAACTATTCTGCCTGCGCCCACCGTAACGGTAATGATGTATTAAACCAGCGAGCGTGATCGGATTAAGAATGAGGCGGACACCGCCGTGCACACACTAGACTAATTGTTTATCGTCAACTGATGGAATTTGAAAATTCAAAAATTCAAATTTCACAAGCTGTATATGTAAGTGGATGTGGCGGCACACCGTTGGTGCATAAGTCCGTTTCTGTAGCTCCTATGGACGTCTCGGTTGGGATGAACCGCATCCCATATTTGGGAAAGGGACCTATCTGAGCGGCGCGGCGAGCGAGACTGCGTTGGCTTGCCGCCGCTTATCTTACTGCACCCTCCCCCCTCGTGCTAAATGCACGCAGCGGTGAGGTCACAAGAGTAGCGGGACGCGAATAGGAACACGGCCGACACGATGGATGTTGGACACGAGTACACACCTTTATATGGAGAGTCGCGTGCTGGTCACTTCCCCAATGCTTGCGCCGTGTCCCGTCCCGCCCTTTTCTAAACTGCCGCCGCTACTGCGTTAGGCGGCTGCTGCTGTCCTTCCGTTGCTTCACGCGCTCTGTAGCTGTCACACGTTACCCGACTTTGCTACAGCCCCTGCGTGGACTCGATCACGGAATGACACCCCCAACTATAGACTAATAATTCCAAACACCGTGACCCTGGGTTTCCGGTAGAAAATGAAGCCAAATTCTAATTCGACTGTTACAAAATAAACACCAGTTTATTCTATCTGCTTCGACGAACAAACCTTCCTTTTATTTTGTTTTCTTTCGAATTGCTTCATTATTTCTTCGGTTTCTAGGCTACGTGTTGGGGAGAGAGACGCACGAAACGCTCATCGTCTCTCCGGCCGCGTTAGCTGCAAAGGCCGGCGTCAACTCTTACAAATCCATCTCTCTCCCCACAAATACTAGCCGGGGGACTACGACTGCAAACGCAGGAGTCCCAAAACTGACCAAGTCCTCAAATGGTACACACCATTCTACAACACCCACATCGAGGTCAGTTTCTGGACGACTACCGAATAAGTCAACTATCCGTTCCCCCAGACGGTCCCCTCCCCCGGCTGTCTCGATACGATCCTACTGCCGTCTGTAAGTTTCCGTGACACTCGCCGCGAATCCTCTACATTGTTTCGCGCGTACGGCTTGTATGCATCCGACCTCCACTTCCCTTCTCTCTGAATCACTCGTTCTGCGATGTCTCCGCCCGATGCAAGAGCCGTCGCGCCTCCAATTCGCAACGAGTGCAACGCGTACTCCTGGGGGTTACGCCCCGACCTCGCTACCACTTCTCTGAGTGCACGGAGGGCAGCAGTATACCTCACTACTCTCACTGCTCTTCCACTACGGTACGAAGCCAACGGTGCGGAGTCAGGGAACGTCGCATGACACGATAACAGCTCCACCACAAGAGCCACCGCGCCACCGCGTGCTCTCACACCTGACTGCGGTCCGGTGACTTCGTCTCGCGTACGAACCCGTATGTTTCCTTTCTGCTCTTGATCGGCCTTGTGCCCTCTAAACCTCATTTCGACACGGTCTGCTCTACGATAGTGACTAAAGACTAGTTGCGTCTCGCCAGCAAACAATGCTACGTCCGCCCTCGTAAGACAGTGTGCCTCATGCACCCTGCCCGCATCATTCGCGAACACCTCATCAGACCGTGTGATAAAGAGATAGGACAAGCACAGACACAGCCACATCACTCTGCCCCCTTCCCCCCAGTTCTGGCTTGCGCTTTCCCCGTCCAGCAGCATACGCCAAGACACAGGCAGGCGCACACGGCGTACCGTCCCCACAGCCACGTGGTTCCTCGCAATCCCCCTTAGCGCACATTTCAACATCGGAGACGACAAGTCTAGCTCGACAGAAGCTTCCAGCCTATGAAAATGTTGTACAGCCGTGAGTTTTCCGGATATTGTACTCGCTAGATTACCCTCAGACTCGAAACACCAGGCTACGAAGTCTATCAACTCCCACACATGAAGGTCCCCGGCACGTTGCCCTAGGAACTTGGGCTTCTCCGTCAGCCTGCGAAACGTGCACCAAGAGTTGAAGCCTGACGTGTAAGTCCTTCTAGACGAAGACGCAACTGAGTGCTCGACGAGCTGCATGCCAAGACGTCGGTAACAAAGTCCCGTCCTGCCTGTCCCAGGTCCTGAACCTGCTGATAGCCCTGGAGCCAACCTCGTGTAGACCGGCGTGCTGCCGTTCGATTTAGCCGCAGGTGCGCTGCCATCCGAGGTAGGCCCCCCCGCTACGCGGGAGAGCCCGCACCCCTATTTGTCTTTCCCGTGGGTGAAGAAGCCAGCGGCCTTGGGTCTCGCGCCGCCCTCGCCAGCGGCGCGCGCCTCTCCTCCGCGCCCTCCCCCGTTGCCGTGGCCAACGCCGCGCGCGCCGGTTGCCGGAGTTTCGGACGCTCCGCGCCTAGCGTGGGAAGGGTTCTGGGCGTGGATGTGTGGGCAGTTACGATCATGGCAACCGGACGACGAGTTGAAGGCGAAGCAGTAACCACGAGCGTGTCGAGCGATGCCGCCACTTTCTCTGTCACCAGGACGCCTTTGCGAAGCAAGGATTGCCACTCCATCTGCGACAGTTTTGAAACTGCCGGGGGCCGCCCCAGGATGAGCCACGCTTTTACCCGGCGGAGGTCCCCCCACATCCGCGCTCTATCCTTTGCCGTAGCCTTAGCCGCCTCGGCGCTGGGTGTAGCGGGGGCCCGAGAGGCCGATGGTGGGGCGGTTGTGCCCACAAGTTGCACCCCCCCCCCGGAAGGCCAGGTCCTGCTGCTTGGGTGGCGATCAGGTCGTCGATCGTTGCTTGAAGCTGCTGGCGATCACCGGCAGCCTCATCGCGCTTCCGCTGCAGCTCCTCCCTCAGGCCGTCCACCAGCCCGCGGAGAGAAGCGAGCTCAGTCTCATCAGCGGGGGGGTCGCCGCGGGTGCCCTGTCCCTGGCGCTCGCGAGGAGGATACCGCTCGACGCCTCGCGGGAGTACGTGATCCGCTGCGCGTCGAGGGGCGAGCCGTCGAGCTCGCCACCGATCGCGCGGTAGACCTCTCGTGCGTGGTGTCGAAGGTGTCGCCGCCCGACCTCGCCCTGCTTGCCCAGCCGCTGCCCTGCCGCTCCGCGTGGAGGCCCGTGTCGGCATCTGGTCGCGGTTGGAGTCGTATAAGCAGCGGACCGGCGGCAGGCGGCGGGCGAGCGTCAGGGCGGCGTTGCGGGAACACTTCTTTTCCTCTTCATCGTGGGCGTAGTCGATCGCGCGCCTGGATCTGCAGTTAGAATGGTCTACAAATCCTATCTTCGGGCGAAACTATCTGACGTGGGTTTTCGTCGGGCCCAGAACGACGCGTTGTTATATCGCGAGCTCGCGTTAGTTCATTCTCGACGCCTGTGGATTGAATGGAGTGATTATTGCTGCTGACGCTACGGTCACCGGACGTCGACCAATCCCGAATATTTCTCTCTTTGGAACACTAGCGATGGTTTCTCTTTTTTTTTTTTTTATATATATATTTTCTTGGATTCGGTGAACCCCGGTTCGCCATCGGCACGGGTGCTTCCACTCATTGGCGCGTCCCGTGCTGATACGTGTTTTTTTTTTTTTTTCGATGCGTTGGATACGGTGAACTCCACTTGCCAACAGCGCGGGTGCTTCCACTCATTGGCGCGTCCCTCGCTGAAACTGACAACACATATGCAGCACGGGTGCTTCCACTCATTGGCGCGACCCGCACTGATGATACTTGTACGCAGCGCGGGTGCTTCCACTCATTGGCGCGTCCCTTGCTGAAACTGACAACACATATGAGCACGGGTGCTTCCACTCATTGGCGCGTCCCGTACTGATACGTGTATGACTTCGTTTTCGATGCGTGGAGATCGGTTAATTCTACTCGCCCAACAGCACGGGTGCGCCCACTCATTGGCGCGTCCCGTACTGATACGTGTACGGCGTTTTTGTTCTTTCTTTTTGAGATCGGTTAACTCTACTCGCCAACAGCACTCATTGGCGCGTCCCTTGCTGAAACTGACAACACATATGCAGCACGGGTGCTTCCACTCATTGGCGCGTCCCGTACTGATACGTGTACGACTTCGTTTTCGATGCGTTGAATTCGGTTAACTCTACTCGCCAACAGCACGGGTGCGTCCACTCATTGGCGCGTCCCGTGCTAATACGTGTACGGCGTTTTGTTCTTTCTTTTTGAGATCG